CCAATTCACTCGCATGGAGTCCACAGCATTGGGCAACACGTCAGCAGCAAAGAAACCTACGCACATTTTTTTCGCAGCACCTTGAGTAGATACGTCCAGCGACCTTCGCACGTGTCCTCCCAACCCTTGTTCACAAGCCAATGCACGATTGGAAGTGCGACCTTGTCGAGGGACTCCTCAAACGATGTGCAGCATGGCCCGCCGACTGCGCCTCCAGACGCATGCTCAGCATAACCTTCCGAGACATAACACCAGTGGACCAACAAATCTTGGCCGATATCAACATGCTCAACCAATTCATCGCAAAGATATGAGTTCGTAATCCTGTTATCTTGCCGCCGCCGCCTTGATCTCGACCGCGGCTCTGTCAACGGGCGGTCTGGCTTGCACGGCAAACCAACAAGAATTCTAGATGTTCGTCTGAGCTCGGGCGGGCGGCACTCCCGCTTCACCTTGAAAACCTTGCGGATCTCTTTCGTCAAACTTGTCCTCAATGCCTCTGTGTTGCGCCGTTGCCGAGTGAACGATGTGAACGTGTGGGCCCTGCTCGTTATGCTGCTAGAAAGTTCCGGAGCCGTCTTGACCAACTGAAACCCATGTAAACTGCATGGCTCAGCCCAAGGGAGGATCGCGTTGGGTACAGGTTCATTCTGCAAGCACTGGTTCGACCATATCCATTCGATTGCTTTCCAGTTCGCTGATGCTCGATCGACACAAAGGGCCAATATGCAAAAATCTGATCCACGCGCGATCTTACCCAACTCTTCATGGTGTTCAAAGTTATACGGGGCACGTTTCAGAACGGCTTCCAAAATGAAGTCCGCCGTCTGAGCAGAGAGCACGACGCCTTTACAATAAAATGGGAAAAACACTCACGATGTCACCACCATTCGTCTCAACCATTGTCCAAGATTGCATCGCGACTTCCGAACCCAAGGCCTTCATCGCATTGTATTCACCCTGCTTCACGTGCCCAACTGCTGGCTTGATTCGTTGACGTGGTTCGTCTCATTCACCACTGAGAACGCAGATCTTCTTTACATCTTTTGCACGCGGATCGCCAGAAGATGAGCCAGGCAATGGGACAGAGACGGTGTCTCGGCAGTCATATTGTATATCCATGGCAGCTTGGGCAAACACGTGGGCGCTCTGATTTTGTCTATCTGCCAATACTCGGTCACATTTGATCGTCGGGGCCATCGCAAGCTTACAAAGAATGTTTGCCCTCTTCTCGTCGACGGCCGCTTTCGCGGCCTTGACGCCCATGAATTTCGCCACAGCAGGGAGTGCAGCAGTGACCTCCGCTACTTGATATTCAAGGTGCGACGTCCTCGCACTTGCACGATCCAGTTTTCTTCTCACGACTTGTTTCTCTCTCTCGTCTCTTGCATGCCTGGCCCCCTCCCAAGAAGATTTCTGATACTTTCGACGTGAAGGGCCTGCACTCGCTATGGCGACCAATGTTCCAAGATCCTCATCGTCGGGACCAGGCGGAGCGACGCTGGAAGCAGACCCTGTTGGCACGACTATGTCTGAAGCTGATGCTGGCGGTTCTGTCACTGCCGCTGGCCTTTTTCGCACTGATGGCCGATGGTTCGCCAGCGAAACCAATCTCTGCAAGTCTGATGCGTCATCTGCGACATCGCTTTCCATCAAGGCTGGAAGGAGTGTGAATTACATTGGCTCAAAACCTTGCTTGAGACCAAAAGACCACAGACGGCTTTCGACGATATATTGTATTTGACACCGGTTTGGCGTGGCTCAAACAGTCACACCGACAGACCTTCGTGCGCTTTATGGCCAGATGGGTCCTCGCTGAGGGTCCGTTGGGGCCTTACTAAAGCCCTCAACGGCAGACTGATCCCAAAGAAAACCTCCCAGTTTAGAACACCTCTCGTGGTGTTTAGGATGTTGTATTGTTTTGGGTGCGATGCTTATCTCTGGAACACGACCAGACACGTTTACAGTTGCGTTTTTGAGGCCATCGTTTTGTTTATGGGGAGCTTGGGCCTGCCAAGTGTATCTGAGCACGCGTGCACGCGCGCCAAACGCGCGTGTCATTCCCAGAAGGTTCCGCCACAAGAAAGGCACACCTATTCAGAAACCCCTTACACCGAACATGCCCTGGACCCCATTGCTGTCACTACCACGGACTCAAAAAGCAGGGCGCTGGGGTTTCACAGAATAAGTACAGGCAAACCAGAGACACTGAGTTTGGGGGTGGGGGGGCGTGTACATCGAGATGGCCGGTGCGATGGCTCAGTCAACGCTTGGCCGAGGGTCGTGACGGCCCGCGGCTGGAAGGCCCCTCTATTCTGATCCCCCGCCCTCAAACAAGTGTGGTTTGCATAGCCAACTGTTGCTACCCTGAATGGTTACTACGCCTACTGGCCCACAATCCTCTCACCTATACGTTGATGCTTCTTGCTCCTTCTCCTATCACGTATGCTCATGTGTTCCTTGCCTTGAACACTCTCTACTCGTATCCCGCCCTTGCCCCCCTTTCCCCTTCTGTTCCTTTCTAAGGTTGGCAAAGCGGACAAGGATCAGGGCCGACAAGAAACACAACCAGACAAAGTGTAGAACCCCCTGTGCTCAGTTTGGTAGTTTCAATAGAATGTGGGCACAAGAAGGGTGGTTAGAGCACGAAGTCATCTCCCCACCTCCCCCTTAGAAATCGTGGGGTGGTGGGGTAGGGTTCGTATACAGCCTCCTCAAACTTAAAATAAGGTGCCACAAACATAAAAAAAAACTCTGGGGTCCGCGCGGATTGCTCGGATCGGCGCTGGGGCCCCCTGGCGGCGCCTCTGGCGCCGCCCCTGGCGCGCCCCGCGCGCCCGGGAGGGGGATCCAGCGCCGATCCGAGCGTTCCAGCCCAATGAAAGAATGCCCGGAAAGATGGAAAGGCACGTTTAGTTTAGGACGAGGCCAGGACGACGATAACATCGGGTGAGGATAGATCGAGATATCTCTGATATTCGGCGGCTCTGGAGAATGTCTCCAATGCCGCGGCCTTCTCAGAGCGTTCCGGAACGCTCTGAGAGCGTTCAGGAACGCTCTGGAACGGATTTATCCTCGTCCTAGCCGCGCCTTCACGTTGAAGACACTTGAAAGACACCTGAAAGAAAGAATTCCTGGAGCGCTTGCAAGCTTGAAGTGGGAACTTCGCACGAGGAAACGCTTCGACGGAGCTTCGCAAAGGCAACCGGTACGCGCACTGAACGTGTAAGATACCGCTTCCGGGACACGCTGGAGGCTCAAGCAAGTTGCCGCGCCTGCTTGTGCCACGATCTCCTGCTGTCTCCCCAGGTAATGCTTCGCGCGCCCCGCCTAGCTCTTCACCGGAAGAGGCCCGCTCTCGACCCGCCGACCAAACATTGTGCCACGATCTCCGCCCTGAGTCGGCCCTGGTGCCCCGGAAAGACTCCCCAGGCCCATTTCTGTTCTGGGCTGCGCCCGGCCGTGGCGTCGAGACCTTTAAGTCATGCTCAACAGGCCTTCCCCAAACGAAAGACCTGCATGAGAAGACTAGAGGCCTCCTAGATGGGGTCCGAGTAGATGGGATCGGAGGATTGCACTGGATCGCCGATGTATCGCCGATGCATCGGCGATGCATCCACGATGCATCGGCGACATCGGCGATGCATCGGCGACGTCCGCGTGAAGGAAACTGGGCTCCGCATCGAGCCGCATCGGCGATGCATCGGCGATGCGGCGCGATCCTCCGACCCCATCTACTCGGACCCCATCTGGGAGGCCTAGAAATACACTTTCGGAAGTCCGCGCGGAGCTCTTGGATCCGAGCTGTGGCCCCCCCCTCGGCGCGCGGAGCGCGGTGGGGCGGCGCCGGAGGAGCCGCCGGGGCGATCCGGCACCGATGCAATAAATCCGCGCGGGCCTCCCGGAGTTTGTGATTATCTGATATCGTTCTGCACCATGCTCATAATTCGCCATTGATAATGCTGCTGTGATTGCTATCTGTAAGTCTCCGAGTCCAACCGTAGCGACGACCACCTGTAACTACTACAAGAAGCCTTGGTGCTCTTCGTCGTTGTTGTCTGCCGTCGTCTGCCGTCGTCGTAGTCGTGGTTCGTCGTCGTCGTCCGTCGTCGTCCGTCGTCGTCCCCAAACATCCTCCGATATGATTGTTCCAATCCGCGAGGGGTCCTGGCCCCTTAGTTGGGGGTAGTTTTGCGCCCCAGATCCAGTCGTGATGGCCCTGGGCCCCGGAGGCCGAAGTCAAGGAATACTGCCCAGATGGGAAAACAACATATCGTCGGAGCTCTGGGGTCGTCATAGTAGTCGTCGTCGTCGTCGTCGTCGACGGCGTCGTCGTCGTCGTCGTCGTCGGCATCGTCGTCGGCGTCGGAGTCGGCGTCGGCGGCGGCGTCGGCGTCGGCGTCGGCGTTGTCGTCGGCGTCAGCGTCGGCGTCGGTGTCGGCATCGGCGTCGGCGTTGGCGTCGGCATCGGCGTCGGCGTCGGCGTCAACGTCGACGTCGGCGCCGGCGTCGACGTCGGCGTCGGCGTCGGCGTCGGCGTCAGCGTCGGCGTTGGCGTCGTCGGCGTCAGCGTCGGCGTCAGCGTCGGCTTCGGCGTCGGCGTCGTCGTCGTCGTCGTCGGCGTCGTAGGCTTCGGCGACATCGGCGTCGACGACGTCGTCGTCGTCGTCGGCGTCGGCGTCGTCGGCGTCGTCGTCCTCGTCGTCGGCATCGTCTTCGTGAGCGGCGTCGGCGTCGGCGTCGGCGCCGGCAACGCGTCGGCGTCGGAGTCGGCGTCGTCGTCGTTGGCCTATGCGTCGTCGTCGTCGTCGCCGTCGTCGCCCTCGTCAGCGTCGTTGTCGTCGTCGTCGTCGTCGTCGTCGTCGTCGTCGTCGTCTGGGGGCGGCGTCGGCGTGGACATCGTCGTCGTCGTCGTCGGCGTCGGCGTCAGCGGCGGCGGCGGCGTCGGCGGCGGCGGCGGCGGCGACGGGGGCAGCATCGGCGGGGGCGGCGGCGGAGTCCTTCTTGCTGCCAGCGGGCGGCGGGGGCACGGCCTGCACCGAGGGCCTGCCAGGGCCGCCGCCTCCTCGGCCGGCGGGGGGGAACGGGCGGTCTTACTCCTCCTCCTCCTCCTCCTCCTCCTCCTCCTCCTCCTCCTCTCCTCCTCCTCCTCCTTCTCCTCCTCCCTCCTCCTTCCCTCCACCTCCTCCTGCTCATCCTCCTCCTGCTCCTCGTGCTCCTCCTCCACCTCCACCTCGACCTCCTCCTCCTCCTCCTCCTCCTCCTCCTCAAACTCCTCCTCCTCGGGTCGCCTACAGCCCCGGGGGAAGCCGTGCACCCCTGGGGTCCTCTGCGAGCTCCTGCCGCAGACATCCCCAAAGAAAACTGGCCTGCCAAATTCCAGGGCGCGCTCCCTCCTCCTCCTCCTCCTCCTCCTCCTCCTCCTCCTCCTCCTCCTCCTCCTCCTCCTCCTCCCCCTCCCTCTCCTCGTGCTCGTGGTCATCCTCCTCCACCACCTCATGGCTCCCCCGTTTGAGTTCGGCGACTCTTGGCGGTGGGGCCGCCAACGTGCTCCACGCCCCAGACACCCTCACAACGACGATGTATGCTCAGTCATGCGGTCACAAGGCCTCGTGAGTACAGCCTGAAACCAAAAAAAAACACTAGAAGTCCACGACCGGTACGGAACTACAGCTTCCCCCTTCAAACACATGGAGCAGATTGGGCCTGAGCCAACATGACCAGAACACTATAGATCAGGACGCCAACACGATAACATCAATGACGCGCCGCCGCAGGGAACCCGCCAGCAGGCTTCTGCGGACGCAGCAGCAGGCTCTCGGACAGAAGCGAGGGAGCCATTCGCCGACGGACTCCCAATGGCGGCGCGTCATCGACACTCTCTCCCCCCGCCCCCCTCCCCGACGCTCTCTTCCGTCCTCTCCTGCAGGGGGGCGGTTCCCCAGCGCCCGCGAGAGGCACACTGAGCACGTCTTCGCGACAGTGCCATCCTCCGCCGCTCGACCCCCCCCCACCATCCCGTCGAGGGCGAGCTCGCCCTTCACCTCACGTGCTTGTTTCCCTCCCCCTCCCCCCTCCCCCCTCCCCTCCCCCTCCTCCCTCCTGGGAAAAACCCCGATGGCGATACCCCCTCGGACCTCTCCAGGGGTGCGTCCGGACCAACGTCGCGAGGCGGATCCAGCGGTGGCAACGAGGGCCTCCCAGGAGGCCCGAAAAGGGGAACACGGCCGAAGGGCAATTAGAGGTCTGGGTACCTTTTCCTCCTCTGAGCCTCCCTCCTCCCTCCCGCCTCCCCATCCACTCCCCGCCTCCCTCCCGCCTCCCCATCAACTCCCCTTCCCTCCCCCTCATCCCTCCCCCCTCCCTCCGCTTCCCCTTCCCCACCCCCTCACCTCAACGAGCCAACTTGAGTCAAAAAGCCCCCCCCCCTCTCGCGAGCCCAAGGCGCTGGCAACGCGACGCTCGGGCGCCAGCACTGCTGTCAGCCTTCCACCCCTCCCACCATACCCTGATGTTCGAGGGGTCTGCGGAGAGCTGGACCCCCGACGTCGTGATTTGTCCCTGCGACGACCCTCGGACGATTTTCGTCCCTGCGACGACGAAGCATCGAGCTGCAATCTGCGATGCAATATGAGCTCGACCACAAGAAACCTTCCACACGAAACCCAACCTGAGGCCTCAGGACGTCCATTGTTTTGTGGTGTGGGCACGTCGCGCTGTCATAGAACACCCGTCGAAATCCAAGAAACCCAACGCACCCTGGAGGCAAGCAGGGTGCTTCTTGGCATGGGCTTCCACTGTACTTCGCCGATAGATCGGCGATGGGCCCCCGACAGCGAAACGGCACGTTGCTGGGCGGGGTGGGCGATTCTCGGCGCTAAATGGGCGACAGCGGGTCGATGCGCGGCAACTTGAGACCCGACTTACGTCGGATCCACGTCGGACTTGCGACGGGTTCACGTCGGAATTGCGTCGGATTTACGTCGGACTGACGACGCAGCATCGCCGCGCGAACGTCGACCCATGGCTCACGGAGCTAACGTGTGGATCAGCTGTACAACTATGGCGCACCGCGCGAGGCCTCCAGGACTGTTCCTCATGACTGAGCCTGTGCCTGCTGACGCTGCCTCCGATTCCCCGGGACCCGTTCTTCGTCCTGAGTCGTGTTCGTCGACGTCGGCCCAGCCTGGGCCCTCACAGAAGCCGACGATGAGACAACTGCCAGGCATGACTCTGTCACGACGCGAGGGGGGCGTGCGGAGCCTGGGGCTCCCTTCCCTGGGCCGCGCATGGAGGAAAGACTGCTCGCAGGGAAGGAGGAGGAGGAGGAGGAGGAGGAGGACCAGTGTAAACCCAAGAGCCATCAACGATGTTGGAATACACCATCCCTCCCTCTTCATAGGCCCCTACAACGGTTCGTGTCCATTGAGGGATCTGCCTCGTTGGAAGACAATCGTTTGAAGACACGGAAGCATGCCAAGACATTGTTCTCAGGATTCCAGCGCCACGGATCAACCTGACTGTTGCGTCTCGACGATCCTGGATCGTACCAGAACGCCATTCTTTGGGTTTCAACACCGCGAATCAACGTAACTGTTGCACCCGCAAAATCCAGAATCCATTCAAAACACTATGTCTGGTACGTTGGTCGCGGGAATCTGCGAAACGCTTGCAATTGTGTAAAACGAATGCGCGCGGCGCTAAGGCGAGAGCCACATGTTGAAAAGGAACAGCCCTCAATCCGTGAAACAATTCAAACGAATGTGCGCGGCGCTAAGGTGAGAACCACATGTTGAAAAGGGAAGGCCCTGCATCCGTAAAAACCTAGCGAACGCATACACACACATATATATATATATATATATATATATATATGTATGAACGAATGTGCGCGGCGCTAAAGCGAAAGACACATTTTGAAAACGGGTGATCCTCAATCCGTGAAGCTCTTGCAACTGTTTTGTTTGAAACGAATGTGCGCGGCGCTAAGGCGAGAGCCACAGTTTGAAAAGCACCCGCTCTCCATCTGTGAAACGGCTGCAGCTTCTAAGCTTTAGAACCATTCATGGTGAGGAAGTCTCAGGCGAAACGCGCGGTCCGCCCTAAAAACTAGCCTCGGGGTGCGACGGGGAGAAGATATGCACAAGGAAAAGGAATGGAGGAGGAGGATGAGGAGGAGGAGGAGGAGGGAGGAGGTGGGAGGAGCCCAGCGCATCATGAGCCCGACGGCGAGGTCGTGCCCACATCTCCCACGACGTGTGTGCTCAATCTGGGGCGTGTTTCCTCGATTTCGGCCTCCGCGCCGTAGCGCCACAGGGCCGCCAAAACTGAAGCAGCAAGACGAATCCAGGACGAGGATAAAACAAGGTGAGGATAAACCGAGCATCCCTGGGGTCCGGAGGATGTCTCGGGCGCCGCGGCCTTCTCAGAGCGTTCCGGGACGCTCTGAGGATCGTCCTGGAACGCTCTGGAACGGATTCAACCTCGTCCGAGCACCGTCCGAAGCAGGGGCGGAAAAACCCTGCGGGGCGCGCACCGACGAGATCAACAAAACATCGCCGGATATGCCTGGGCGCGCGGTCCCAACAGAAAAAAAAGGGGGCCGCCGTCCAGGGAGCTGTTGTGCCCCGTGCCGGCCGCGGGAGGACGCGGAGGACGACCCCGGTCTCCGACGATTGGTTTGATGTCTTGGAACGGCCCCGATCTCCGACGATTTGACTTCTTCGGCTCCGGCAGTTGTCCCTGATTGCGTCCCCTGGGTTCTCAGACCCCCTCGCGCTGTGCAAAAAAAACAAGGACAATTTGTCGTTATTTTCTGCCTCTGGAGGCCCTCGCCGGGCCTCAGGACCGTCAAACAACGACTCAATATGAAAATCCGGTCCCGGGGATGCTGTGAAAAAATTATGACGTCGATTGTCTGGGAAGATGGCGCCGCCAGCAGCACAAGAACATTATGGGGGCCTCCGCCAGGGGAGGGGTGGCCCTGGAGTTTGGTACTGGCGGTAATCTCTCGGCCACCGACCAGACGCCCGAACATCATACCACCATGATACCAAAGAAAAAAAAACATAATCTTTTTAGGGCTATGGGGCTATGGGGCTATTAGGGCTGTAGGGCTACTGGGGCTATAGGGTTATAGTGTTATAGGTCTATGGGGCTATAGGGCTATAGGGCTATATAAGGCTATAGGGCTAAAGGGCTACAGGGCTATAGGGCTATAGGGCTATAGGCTATAGGGCTATAATTAGGGCTACAGGGCAACTGGGCTATAGGGTTATAGGGCTATTAGAGCTGTAGGGCTATAGGGCTATAGGGCTACAAGGCTATAGGGCTATTAGGGCTATAGGCCTATAGGGCAGGGCTATAGGGCTATAGGGCTGTAGGGCTATAGGGCTATAAGACTATCGGGCTCCAGGGCAATAAGGCTATAAGGCTATAAGGCTATAAGGCTACAGGACTATGGGGCTACCGGGCACCCGGACACCACGGCACCCGGGCACCTGGGCACCTCCCGGCACCCTGGGGCATTCGGGCACCCGGGCACCCGGGTTCCCCCGGGCACCCGGGCACCGGGGCACCGGGGCGCCCGGGACGTGGCCGCCGAAATCGGCGACGTAGGTCACCTACACATAAGAATCCGCTTGGACCCCGATAAGACCCCTACAGAAGCATGGCAACCGCCTATGGTGCCAACGCTGGGGGCCGCTACCAGGCCCCAGGGCCACCAAAAACGAAACCGGGGCGCCTTACTACCCCCGAGGAAGGGGTCGTTAGCTCGGGGCCGCGGATTGAAAAAAACATATCGCAAGACGTCTGGAGAGGGGGCAGCTCCAAGAGGAACCCCACCAGCATTTCCCTCGCGCCCTGGAGGTGCTGAGCAGCAGCACAGCTAGACACTGACCGAGGAGGCTGTAGCCTGACTGCAACGCTGGTAATTAGACGAATGGGCCGCCAGTATCAACAAAAACTCGTGTCCCAAAGCTGGTGCCGCTGATGTTCCTGGAGGCCCTCCTGGTAGTAGAACGTTGGAGCCCTCCGCAGTGCACGACCGGGGACCCCCGCCGGGCCCGAAGCGATAGAGCATGGGCCAGCTCGCCGTTTTTCCCCTTCTGCATTTTGTGTTTCGCCAGGTCCATACTGTATCACAGAATCGGTGCAGCAGCTCGCTTGACCGCTGGGAGGTGCGCGGCCAAGCAGCCTCCTGGCGAACATGGCTATTCGATGGATTCCAGACCAGGCGTCCACCCCGTGTGCCGAAGGGTTGTCCCGCGAGCGTGGCCGAAATTACGTCGTGCCTAGAGAAGGCCACCAGCATGGCGGCCCCGCGCACGCAGCCAGCGGGCCCCCCATGGGAGGAATTCTGAAGGAACCCTTCCCAGCGCTGCTCGAGAAGCAGTTGAAACAAAGGCACGCCAGATGTATAATACATGAAGAAGACATGTGAACATATATATATATATATATGTATGTATGTGACCACATACCGAATGATTAATGAATAAAAACAGCATCAATACATGTATGTATACATATGCATATATACCTCTATACATATATGTGTATATATATATACATATATGCATATGTATATATACATATACATATACATGTCTATATTCATATATGTATGTACACATATGTATATATACACACTAGAACCACGCGCGCGCTTCGCGCGCGCGCTTAGGTTCTAGGGCGGCACAGGCAGAGCATTCGTTTGACAGAACAGGGGATGAGAGGAGTTGTAAAGAGAATCCCACCAGCTCTCTGTGCGTAGGTGGTTAAGCGCGTTTCCTCCCTCCACCCTTCCCTCTACCCCTTCGGGGAGGGCACCTCTGCCCCTAACCATCTCCCCTGGACCTAAATGGGGTCCCCGCGAGCGGTCAGATCGTGTCTTGGGGGCTTCTTGGGTTCTCATGGGGGCATCTTCGGGCGGAGAGCTCGATTTTTCGGTTCGTGTTCCCTCTCTTGGGCCCCTCGGAGGCCTTCTTGGGGCACTCTTGGGCCGTCTTGGGCGGATCCGGGGCGGTCTTGGGGCTCTCTTGGGCCGTCTTGGGGCTCTCTTGGGGGCATCTTGGGCCGTCTTGGAGCAGTCTTGGGAGCCTCTCGGGCGGTCTTGGAGCCTCAGAGCGAGAAACCAAAAAACACAGAAAAAACATATGATAAATCAACGATTTCTGCCTCTCGGGGCCGTCTTGGGAGGCTTCTTGGAGGCCTCTGGGGATTCTTGGGGGCGTCTTGGGTCGTCTGGAAGCCATCATGGGCGTCTTGGACCGATCTTTCGGCGACTCTGGGCCCTCTTGGACCGTCTTGGAACCTTCTTGGGCCGTCTCGAGGGCCTCTTGGGCCGTCTTGGAGCCCCCGGGGGGGGGTAACACGGGCGTGACCCGGATGTCCAGGGGGTGGGCCGGAGCCCCCGGGGCCAGGGACCTGGTATTCATCTATTATATATATATATATATATATACAGCCGCCTGCGTGCTCGGGTTCGGCCCCCCATCGCGCCGCCCAAAGGTCGCCACAGGTCGCGGGAGCGAAGGGCCGCCCATATATGGTCCAGGGCTTGGGCCCCCCCCTCCCCCAATGCTGATGCCATTGGGTCCCCCCCCCCCCGCGCGATGGTCCCCCCCCCCCGCGCGATGGTCCCCCCCCCCTGTGGATGTGGTGTGGTGCTGTGGTGGTTCAGAAGTGGGCGTGGCGTGGTGCTGCGCTGCGGTGCCCCCCCCCCCCTGTGGATGTGGTGTGGTGCTGTGGTGGTTCAGAGGTGGGCGTGGCGTGGTGCTGCGCTGCGGTGCCCCCCTCCCCCCCCCTGTGGATGTGGTGTGGTGCTGTGGTGGTTCAGAGGTCGTCGTCGTCGTCGTCGTCGTCGTCGTCCTCGTCGTCCTCGTCGTCCTCGTCGTCGACGTCGTCGTCATCGTCGTCGTCATCGTCGTCGTCGCCGTCGTCATCGTCGTCATCGTCGTCGTCGCCGCCGCCGCCGCCGGCGTCGTCGCCGCCGCAGCCGTCGTCGTCGTCGTCGTGGTCGTCGTCGTCGTTGTCGCCGTCGTCGTAGTCGTCGCCGTCGTCGTCGTCGCCGTCGTCGTCGTCGTCGTCTCTGGGACCATACCATCTGGGGGGGGGGGGCCCGAGGAATTCTGGAACCATACCATCTGCGGGGGGGGGGGGCCCGTGAACCCTCGACCCTGGATCATATATACACGCAGCCGACGGCTTCACCTGCGCCGCCGTCTCGGCGGCCCTTCGGCGCCGCCAGAGGCTCTCGTCGCCACGGCCGAGCCTCGGGGCCCACCAGAGGGGGGGGGGGACCCTGAGGCGGGGGGTGAGTTCGATCCGCTGGTGCATCGAATTGCCGGAAAACGATGTCCCCCGCGCGCCCCGATTGTCGACGCCTCTCGGGCGGGCTCCAGCGGCGGCCGGAGACCTCGTTTTGCATCGTCTTTCTGCGGTTCGATGCGCCAACGGACCGAACTCACCCCCGCCCTGTGGCCCCCCCCCTTTGCGAGGTCCCGAGAACCCAGAGGTCGGACGCCGTGACTTTTTCAATGCGGGGTCCCCGGAGATCTCGACCCGTTCCCCAGGATCGGTGTGAGCTGCTCTTGTGAACGGCCCCAGGGCCTGGCGAGGGCCTTCAAGAGGTCGAAAACGGCGAACATACCTCCGTCTTGATTTTTCCACACGCTAGATCTCTGGGAATGGACACAGGGCGAGGGATCTGGGCACCGGAGGCCCGTCTTAAGTGGGTGTTGGTCCTGCTGTCGGCGGCGGCGTCTCCAGTGCTTATCGTGGCCTGAGGAAGGTGCGCGGGCGAGGAGGGGTCAGCGGGAGTGTCGAAAGAAGAAGAGCCGTGACATCTCAAGATGCCACGTCCCTGGCCAGTGCCACCATCCTGACGCCTCTTGATCTGGGGCGAGCTGGATGCAGCCATCGACCGGCGAGCGGCGGGGCACGTCGGAAGCGGACTGCGCACCCAAACAGTAGTTAAATGGGGTCGGAGGATCGCGCCGTATCGCCGATGCATCGACGATGCGGCTCGATGCGGAGCCCGATTTTCTCCAACCCGACGTCGCCGGTGCACCGCCGACGTCGGCGATGCACAGGAAGGCAGGAGCGAAGGCGGGGGAGGGCCGCGCGACGGCCAGAGCGCCCTCGCGGCATTTATATCCACGCACACGTGCGATCGTCGACAGCGTCGTCGTCCTTCTGGGCCCCGGGCTCCATGGGGGCGGGGCGACGCCGGGGGCGCCGAGGGCTGGAAGCTGGCCGTGGGGGGGCCGCCGAGGCTCATGGAGGTGTCGCTGCGGACCTCTGCGCACCGTGGCCGCCGTCGCCGCTGCCGTCGACGTCGCCGCCGCCGTCGACGTCGCCTCCCACGTCGCCTTCGAAGCTGGGGTGGGGAAGAGGCGGGCCCAGCGTAGGGGAGTCCGAAGATCAAGCCTCGCCTAGTGGCAGGAACGCCCTGTAGAAGCACCGGCGCGGCCACCTTCGGTTTCGCACCCACCGGGCGATCCGCAGGAGGAGGAGGAGGAGGAGGAGGAGGAGGAGGAGGAGGAGGAGGAGGAGCTCAGTGTACCAGAGGGGTTCAGCTCCCGCCCTGCGCTCTGAGCTCAGGGCGGGGGCGCGCCTGTGGGGAAGTCGCTGCACACATCGTTCGGCGCAGCAGCAGCAGCAGCAGCAGCAGCGGCCGCCGCGGGAGCGGGGACAATCAAATGAAGAAAGGTCAAGGATCGGAGGAACGAGGAGGAGCGAGGAGGAGGAGGAGGAAGAGGAGGAGGAGGGCTGGAATAGTTAAACCAAGGATGCGCCAACGATGCTGTAACGCACTCTCCTGTCCCAAGTCCCCTGCGCACGCGCCCCCGCCAGCATTCATTTAGACACGCTGCAGGGAGCAACCCCTTGAGAGACGTCAACCCATGGGCCTGCCATTCTGACGCGTACAGCAGCATGGGTGTAAATTGACGTGCGTGGAAGGGCTGGCCATGCGGCTGGGATTTCCTCCCCTTGTCCTTGCTGTGTGTCCCTTTCCTCCGTGCGTTCCTCCTCCATGCAGCTTCTCCCCCCGTGCCAATGACGCACGTGTCCCGTCCATAGACGGCACTCTGTAGATTGCTTCCCGCATGCTGCACCCCGGAGGATGCACGGAGTCGCCATTTGAGGAACATGCGACGGTCTCATTTCCTCGCAGTTGAAGGCACGCTCCTGCCATCAAGCTCACCACCAACATGAACGGCAGCTCCCTACAGTGGCCCCAGGACTGGGGCGAAGCATCGCGAACAGGTCCGTCTCTTGTCTGAAGGGAGGTTCCCGCGATGCGGCACCTGTCGGCAGACGCTGCCCTTGCGCGTCCCAGGGACCTCACCACACGAGGAGTTCCTGTTGCAAGAGCTGCGGAAACAGCTCCTTGCGGTTCAACAAGGCCGAGTGATGGCAGCGATAGAGCCTGACGTAGCCACCCCTTCAGCTGCCCTCCTACGGCCATGCAGCAGACACAACTTGTGTCAAGATGCTGAGGCTTGCTTGACTATCGATTCAGTTATCGAACTACGGCGCCGGGCAGTGCGGCATACCAGCCCCATGAAGACGAGACCTCTGACCACCCACTGTAATCTGCACTGTATCCGCCGTCCTGGTGACCACTAGCCTCCATTCGAATCCACTCTCCCCTGGAAAGCCCGATATCATACCACCAAGAAACCACAATCCTTGTCTTTCTCCTCTTTTTTTGTTCCTCCCAGTTCCTGATGGCGTGAGGGATCGTCGCCTGTTCCCCTCCTCCTCCTCCTCCTCCTCCTCCGCCTCCTCCTCCTCCTCCTCCTCCTCCTCCTCCTCCTCCTCCTCCTCCTCTGGCGAAGACGAACACGACGACGACGACGACGACAACGACAACGATGGGCCTGGAACGCCGTCGCGGGCTTCTTCACGAGCGCGACGACTTCTGGTATCGCGTCCTTCCACGTCTTCCCGCGGCAGAACTGCCCCACTGCCTGGCCAAACCGATGACGACGACGACGACGAAAACGACAATGACTTGTTGTAGCAACGGGTCCCGGTCTGAAGGCAGCACGGACGCGGCCGCCGAGCTTCGGCGCGCCTGCGCGCCTCACTCGCTGGCGGGGCGGTCGCATCCCGTCACTCTGCCGCCTCTTGCCTCACTGCGGCGCGGCCTGCACCGCTCACTGCGCGGTGGCCGAGCACCGCGGGCAAACGACAGGCCCCACCACGTGGGGCACCGCCCCCAGCGAAGGGGGAACGGCCCGCGGCGCCAGCGCCAGGCAGGCAGGGCCCCCCGCTCGCCCAGGGGACCCGGGGAACAACGATTTGGGACCCCGGGGTCAGAAAACTGAAGGGGCCCTGGGACACACAAATAAATACACATCAATAAAATGATTCTCCATATTTTCCTATATTTTCTGGGTGTTTGACTTCCCGCCCAATTCCCATATTTTCTCACATTTTCCTGGGACTCGACGATTAATTGTGTCTGTGTGTTTCCTTCCCTCCCGAAAAACGATGCGACACGACGGGGAACAATGCGGCGAGTGCGGGGATTGGCGGGGAGTGCGGGGAGCGGGCTCCCGCACCGCCCTGGGGGAGGGCCCGGGACATGGCAGCCCCCTGGGAAGGAGAGCCCGGGCGCGGGGGCTTGGACCCCAAAGGCCCGGTGCTCCCCGCCTGCACCAGGGGGCGCGTTGGGCCGACACCCCGCTCATGGGAGCGCCCCTTGGGGCATGACGACGACGACAACGACGACGACAACGATGAAAACTGGACCTCCAGCGCCAGGGAAACGTAAGACTCGGGTACGGGGGTCTCGGGTTGGCCTGACGGGGCCACCACGCAAATGACGAGACCCAGCCTGAAATTTGGCGCGAGCTCCCGCTGCAGAGGTCCCACGAAAACCAGACCGTCAGCATCCAGGACGCGCTCGTCAGAGGACTTCGGCAAACCCGAAGACTGGCTCACCCGAGTTTTACGCTAAAACAAAGCTAGGATCGGGATAAATCGCTCCAGAGCGTTCTGGAGCGCTATCACAGCGTTCGGGAACGCTCTGGAGCGGCCGCGGCGCCCAATGCATCCTCCAAACCCGCCGATTCTCAGAGATTTCGAGTTATCCCGATCCGATTTTGTCCCGATCTTCGCGTCGTTTTATACGCTTCCCCGACAGCGTCGCGAAGAAACCACCGTCGATCATGCTCGTGCACAGCTGCGGCGCCCGGCCGGGGGGGGGGGCCCGCTCTCGGGCTCCTCGCGTGGCTCCCGCCGGAAGCAGGAGGTGCGGCGAAGGCGAGGCCCTCTCGGGAGCGCACCCCCCCCCTGCTGCGCGAGGGCGCGGCCCCCACGGGGCCCCGGGACACACAAAGAAACGCACACACACGCACACGCACGCACGCAACACGCGCACACACACACACACACACACGCACGCACACACACACACACACACACACACGCACGCACACACACACACACACACACACACACACACACACACACACACACACACACACACACACGCACGCACGCACGCACACACCCACGCACACACACACACACACACACACACACACACACACACGCACGCACGCACACACACACACACGCACACACACACACACACACATTCACACACACACACACGCACACGCACGCACGCACACGCACACGCACACGCACACGCACACAACACACACACACACAACACACACACACACACACGCGCGCACACACGCACACACGCACACACACACACACACATGCACACACACACAGAACATCTCCTGCAGACCCCAAGCCGCACTTGCGAAATATAGGGTGGCAGAGGGTGGGTCGCAGCGGCGCCGGCTCGCCCGTCCTGTGGGAGGCTCGGCGCCGCGCGCACCGTGGCCGAGAGCCTCTCCCGTCCTGCGGTGTCTCTGCCTGCGCCGACGTTGGCCTCGCTGCAGCGGGCCTCTCTCCCGTTCCGCAGGAGCTTGCTGCGGGGCGTCGCCCCGTGCTGCGACGTGCTGCGAAGAGCGCGCGCAGCATGGACGCGCTCTCCGCCTTCCACCCGGCCATCCACCAACCAGCCAACCAGAAAGGGGGCAGATGGAGGCGAGCGGGAAGCGGGGCCGCTCCAGCGCGTGAGCCGCCGCCCCCCAGTGGAGGCGCCCAGGCAAAGAGCTGCGCTAGAATCCCATGGCACCATATGGCGCACTCTTTCGAGGCTGCCACAAAGGCTAAGAGGCCAGAAGGCGAAGATGCACCCATTTGGCACAGGTCACCTTGGGAGATTCTCCTGCCCCGAAGATCGCATCTCCTGCAGGCTGCCCTCGCAGGAGCGTTGGGCAGCGATGTAAAGCCTGCTGCTGGGCTGGGCTCCTGGGCAAATGCACCAAGCCCATTGCAGCCAGGGCCCAACCAAGCAGCTGCCGAGGCACACCCGTGTCCGAGACACACCAGGCCCAACGCACAGACTAGGCGTTGCCTGGGAGATGCTTGAGCTGCACGTGCGCAACGAAGGACAACAACTTGAACTCTGCGGTGCGCGCGTTCAGCCCGCAGCGCGCATAGCCGTGCAGTCTGCCTTGGTTGCACTTGGACGTCCAGCCTATGATTGTGGATGCCACGACGATGGACACCCTAACAGTCCTATCATTGAATTTGAAATGTGTTTAAAATGTCGGAACATGTTCTAAACATGTCTCAAACATGCTTTCACATGTTGAAAACATGTGTGGACCATGTTTTGGACATCTGGAAACTATTTGGCAGCATGCAAAGCTTCAGCTCATCCGTTCGCAGCGCGGCCAGGAAGTCTGGCGCGCCCGTGCGCGTCTCTTCGCAACATTGCGCGCTCCGTGCCTGCCTCCGTCGGCCTGCGTTCCTGCGCGCTCGCGCGCCTCATGCGCCTGGCCGCACTGCGTGCCTCTGTGGCCTTCTGTGCGCCCGTGCGCGTGTCTGCGCACCTCTGCGCGCCTGCATGTGCCCGCGCGCCTCTGCGAACCTGTGTGTGCCTTCGCGCGCAGCGTACGCGTCCACGCGCCTGTGCGCTTGGCGCACTGCTGTGCGCTCTGCACGCCTATGCGTGCGCTTCTGCGGGCCCGTGCTCGTCTGCGCTCGTCTACGCATCTCTGCACTTTGCGCTGCTTCATGGGCTCCTGCGAGCCATTCCCGCAGCGCGCCGCCGTGCGGCTGAGCGTGCCTCTGCGCACCAATGCGCACTTCTGCGCGTCTGCGCGTGCTTCTGCGCGCCTCTGCGCGCTCGCGCGTACCTGCGTGCACTTCCGCGCGCGAGGGCACACCATCGCCTCCTATAACGATGCTCGTCGAACCTGCACCCGAATGCGTGGATTTCGCGTACCAACTGCCATTCTCGGGGAGCCTGCGCCCGAAAGTGCGAAAATGCATTTCGATTGCCATCCTTGGCGCCTGGGCAGGGTGCACGGATCGCCCTTCGATTTCAACCCTAGGCGCGCATGCCCCAGAATTGCTCGCTGGTTGCAGCTGCGGGCGCGCCTGCCACGGTGTGCGCAGAACCACGCCCCGATCGAGCGCCTGCGCCCGAGAGCGAAGCATCGCGCACTGACTCCAAGTCTGTGCGCGCCTGCGCCCGGAAGCGCCAAGCGACGCCAGGGGCGCATGCCCACAACCGCGTTCCCTGAACCGCCATCGCACTGCGATAGATTGTGGGGAACGGCGCGCATTTGTGCTGGGAAGCGTGGAATCGCCCCACGTGCGATTCCTCGGCGCGCCTGGGCGCGCCTGCGCCGAGAGAGCGACACCGTGCTCCGGTTGCGATTCGGGGCGCGCCGGCGCCAGAAGGCGCACAGGGCATGCCCGAGAGTGCGAGATCGCGCTCCGAATGCAGCTCTGGGTGCGCCTGCCCAGATTTCACGCGCGCCGATCCAATTTCTGGCGCGCCTGCGCGACAATGCGCGGAACCGCGCCCCGAATGCGATTCTGGCGCTCGCAGCCCCATTGCAAGAGTCCATGCGCGCTGATCGCATTGCTGGGCGCGCCTGCGTCACAGTGCGCGGAAACGCGCTCCGAATGCGCGACTCTGACGCTCACAGCCGCCATTGCAGCAGACAAGGTTCTTCTAACAATAGCGCGTGATCGCAACCGACTGCCCATATGGGCCCGCGTGATCGCACCCAGACTGCCCTTACAGACGCACAGACACGCAAACACACAGACACACAGACAAACCGTCACACAGACGCACAGACGCACAGACACACAGACACACACAGACACACAGACGCACAGACGCACAGACGCAAAGACGCGCAGACACACAGACGCACACACGCACAGACACACAGACATTCAGACACAAAGACACCCAGACACACAGACATACAGACAGACAAGCACACAGACACACAGACACAAAGAGACGCAGACGCACAGACACACAGACAGACAAACACACAGACACACAGACACACAGACACACAGACACGCAGATCCGCAGACACACGCACACACACACAAACACACACACACACACACGCACACGCACACACGCACGCACGCACGCACGCACGCACACACGCAGATCCACAGACACACGCGCAAAGCCTGGATCCGCAATCCTCGAGAATCGATCCTCGCTCTTCGCTCCTGCTCCTGCTCCTCCTCCCCCTTCTCCAACCCTTTTCATCCTCGATGTCGTCGGGGGGAGCCAGCTCCAACTGGCCAGGCGCTTGCGGTTTTGGTGGTCTTAGGAGGGGACAAAATCAGGAACCAAAAATGCATGCGGCCTGACAAGAGGTCGCGCCAGTAGCTCGTCTGAAATTAAAGCAGAACTCTTCGATAGGGGATGGAGGGAAGGAGGGAAAGAGATCGCGAAACGAGAGTGGTTTTCTCATTCCGTCCTGTCTCTGTCTGGGCCTCCGGAGACCTCCACGGGCCTCTGGGGGCCTCGCGGGAACCTCCAGAAGATCTTCGGGAACCTATAATGAGACCTCCAGGGCTGAGGAGAGGGAAAGGGAAAGGGGGA